CGTATCATTGTGTACACAATCTAAAGGGTCCACGGCTGAATCACTCTCCATGGCTTTTGAGTTACGATTCAGTCTCCAGCTCTCAACTGGGAGCTTTGTTTGTTCTGGACAGTTTGGGATTACGTCCTCTTAAAGCACCTTTGCCCGAGTGATTTGACCCACAAGGAGTTTGATTTAGCTTCACTGCATGTCTTTAATGGACTATAGCAGGACTTGTTTCACTCTTTGGTTTGTCAGATTCGGTTCATTTAAGTTAATCTTATTTCCCGTACAAATTAGCGGAGCTAAGCGGTGTTTTCTTTTCAGAACAGCTCCCCTGGGCTCTCTGTTGCCTGGATTCCGTGTTCTCCCATAAACCGGGGACGCAGTAAAACTATGCTAACATTGTCAACATTGTTATCATGAATATTATTAACCCACTGCAGACAGTAAGAGGCAAGTATGCCGGTTACAATACTCTCATTTTCTAGTGCAAAAAGAAGGATCTTAAACAGATGGTCATTTGTAAGTGACATTCTGAGCAGAGTGGTTTTAGACGGGCCTTAAAAGGGGAAACCTTTAAGTGGAATCTGGGGCAGTTCTGTTCTCTCTCTGGTGTTTCCACCCTGCCCAAGAGGAAGGTTTGGATTGCTGTGCGGAGTGATGGGTCCCACTGCGAGAGGCTATGGATGGGATCAGCAACGGGGAACACTTTCAGCAAGTTTGGATTCTAAAAACAAAACCAAATATTGTTTATGAACTTTTTTTTAAACGATTGCTCCCTTGTTCTTTGAAGTTGTATTCCACTTTGTGCTGTCACTTTTTGTAGCTCCTTTCCCAGGGGACAGGGTTGGGTGACAAGCAGCGCAGAGGAGGAAGAAACCCAGTCACTAGACCCAGACAAAAGGGGAGGGGAGGCTGAAATGTCACCTTCAAATCCAGTCCGCGAATTGACTCAGGGCCTTCAGGGAGCAGCGGGAAATACCTCGGTTTGACAGGAGACACTAAAATAAACAACAAGCGTTCCCCTGAGAGAGTGTTAAACTGCGGCAAACTGTGAATTACGGGCCTCAGGAAATGTCTTTTTACATCATACTTTGTTTTATATGGCAGCAAAGGTGTTTATCTTTGAAATGTACATTTCAACAAACAAAGCACTTAACTAAGTATATGAGATGTTTCCTTCCAAAAAGACCTTAAAATAGTGGCGATGACTGATGAGGAAATTGATTGAAACAGGCATTTATTGTAGCATCACATGAAGGATTTTTGAGTAGGTTGGGTAGTAAATGTCTTATATTGTGATGATCATTAAGAACATAACACTCACAATCTTTTGGTAGGGTTTTTGTTTCCTTCTGTAACATTTTTGCTTAAAAGGTAGACGTTCTAGATTCAACATTTACCATGAAGTTAAACAATATGAAGAGTCTAAAGTCCCACATGCTTACAGACATTTGTTTTGCACTTATTTTCTCATAAACCCAATAAAAAATGTTGACTTGATTAAAGGCTAGGTCAATATCATTTTTTAAAATCCATCCTCAGGAGGACATAGCATGGCAATCCATCACACAAAACCTCATAGAGGAACTAGAGGAAGTCAGGGAATTATACATGTCTCAAAACTACAAATTTGGTCTCAATCCATGAGTTAGAAGTTGAGATTTGTCAGTCTTGACCAAAGTTTAGCGTGAAGATATGCACTGTTCATGTGAAATATGTGAGAAAGAGACGAGAGCCTGTTTTAGTGTTTGCTCTACATGTATTAAAAAAAAGACACGCATGGATATATATTATGCGAGAAATTAAATGCTTGAGTGCTTAGAATGGGACATAGGCCTGGTTTATGAGCAGATCTTTTTTCTTTTTTTTTTCAAGAAAGAATATTGGACAGCAGTCAAAATATTCTTCTGCACTCAGCAACGACTACTCTTCACTTCCGCTCTTATCCAGTTGCGTAACTGAACGCAGGCTGTGTTTAATACTAAATATATACTGTAATGTTGTAATTCAACTCACTACTTTAATAAATAGTAAATTGCTGGACACACAACAGATATACGGCAGTTTCATTGTGCAAGCCATCTCCATAAATAAGACTACTTGTTTTGCTTCTGCTCCATTCTCACCTCTGCCAAAAACATCTAATCCCATCTTTCCTCTTGGTTTATATGATATGAAAAACTAAGCGCAATAAAATGTGCTCTCTGCAGAAAGACGCCACAAGGGGGAAAACATTCAGATTTCTCTCCAAGGGAATTACAGTGTCAGTGAGTTTGCATGAGATTATTATTCTACTGCGTCCTGTTACACTTGCCATATTTCATTTCACATCAGACAAGACTCACATGTTAATAGGTTTTTAAACACAGTGTACAGCAGTGTGCTTACATCTTTAAATAAATCTTCACAGTGGGAAAATGTTGTTTTTTCAATTATCTTGCATTGCTCATATCATGGTTTCCAAATGTGCGCAACTGTGGGACTGCACCGGACAAAGAGTGACATCTGGTTATTATCCATGGCAGGGAAAATATACTACCAGGACATATTCCTGCTGTTAACAGTAGTTGGAAGGCAGTTAATTTCAGTTAAAGTCAATTTGATGTCTGACCATTGTCTACGGAGAACAACTGCATTGAATTAAACAAAACCACACAAGTCTGAGGTAAAAACATTCTTTATTTTCTTGTGTTCTACAGGAAAACATAAAAAACTGGCAACAGTGAAATCGGAAACAAAATCTAATAACCTAAAGAAAATCAATCAATCGTGCTGTATTCACAAGGTGGCTGCTGTATATACAGTGCATGTCAAAATACGAACTGATGCATATCTCTAAAGGTTAAGTTAGTGGTATGCTGTGCTGAGCGATGGGGCCACACACTGGGCTCCTGAGCTGTGGGGTCATTACCATCCACACAACAGTGGCAGTGTGGAATGCTCCTCAGAGATAAGGGCTACGACCCCACAGTGCATGAAAAGCATATGCAGGATTAAGACTTTCGTAGTGTACACGTGTCTCCTAGGGCAAAACTGACATGGGAAAATTAAAAACTTAAGAAGGGAGAACCTTTTGAATTTGAAAGTCTAATAGTGGTTTGGCCCTCATTGGGAGTAATGATCACAGGAAGCAAACAAACAGCCTTCATGTTGGATGTGTGTAAGGGCAACTTCCTCTCTCGTTATCCTCGGAGAGTTTTTATTTCACTGCTTTGTGGTACTTGATCACTGTCACAGGAGAGTATTGACAAGAAGTAGGATGTATTGAAAGGTAGCCTGCTGTGAGTATGTTCATTCACACTATGATCTAGAATAGAGGACGGTCTGTAATGTAGTGTGGATTGAATCTTTGAATTGAATCAAATAGTAGTGATAGTACAATGAATGAAAGCATAGATGGAGGAAATGGAAAGTGATGGAGAGGCAGCTTTAGCTGGCAGGGAACAGAGAGAAACACACAGTGGATGCCAAGCTGAAGGAGGCCAATGTCTACTTGTGATTAGTATCTATAAAGAAGAAATACAATTATATAAACACTTATAAAAGGGAAACCATCTCCTACCATTGTGAAGCTCATCCAGCTGATATTGAGACTCTTAAAGTCTGGATCAACCGAAGCCTACTGAAACAAAGAAAAGAAAAACAAAAGTACATCAATATCCACAACAAGATAGATGTGCTAAACATTTATTTTTCACACTTGAAATAGATTAAGTCTTAAAGACATTAACCTTGAGCTGAAATGTTTAATTGCTTAGAAATAGTTGTTTATGTTCCTGGTGGTTTTGTGAAGTGATTTGGTCATGAGTCAATTCATTCTACAAGGGGTCTGCATTTCTGAAGTGATGTCAGTACTGGTGATCCATTGTTGTGGATTGTCACAAAAAAGGGTTGTGCATTAAAAAAATAACAGCTATGTAGATGCATAATCTTTATATAATATAGGAGAAACGCAACACAGTGTGAAGGATCTGACAATGATTCAGTAAGTATTGAAATAACAAAAAGCAACAGCAGGAGGTTAATGCTAACGTTAGCCAGCTGGGCTAACTAGATTTCAGGAACGGAAACTGGTTAGCCCATATTGACTAGAAAATAAACTTCACAGCAAGAGGGTTCCTTTCAAATGTTTGATTTTTATAATTGAGTGCTTAACAGTTGAAAGATGACACCACCAGGATGTCACTGTGAAAAATTAAGTTTCAAATGTTAACTTAAAACCTATTCTTCTTTAATAACATACAAATATATACAGTATACAATAGCTACAGTATAACTTTGATTATATGAACAAGTCGATTTAAAATGTCAACCTAACCAAAATACATAAGGTAAAAACATTAGCGATGTGGACACAGACAAAGCAGAGTAAACAGGCCGTGTTAGTTCAGCCAGCAACAAGAGGAAGAGACAGAGCAACACGGCAGCCTGTGTGAAAACACAAGAGCCAAGATCTCTTCCAAAATAAAGCTGCGATTCAACCCACTCTCAGACTGAAACAAAAACAATATCAACTTTGGGGACATTGCAACAAAAGAAGCAACAGATGTCAGAGCATGTCACCGTCTGAGGGTAAAATCAGAGGAAAAGAGATATAGAAAAAGATGAAGAAAGAGAGTGGGGAGAACAGAAAGTTGGCAGAGAAGGTTTCTACTTCTTGTGGTGAGCCGTGTGTTTGTGTAGCTTGCTCTTCTAACCCCCGCAAACAGGAGTACCGTAAGAGCGAGGGAGAAAGTGGTTGAAAAAAAAGGGAGAAAAAGGGTAGGGTGGTTGAGTGATTATGTGCTGAGGAGGTGTGTGTGTGTGTGTGTGTGTGTGTGTGTGTGTGTGTGTGTGTGGTGTGTGTGTGTGTGTGTGTGTGTGTGTGTGTGTGTGTGTGTGTGTGTGTGTGTGTGTGTGTGTGTGTGTGTGTGTGTGTGTGTGTGTGTGTGTGTGGAAGTACAGCACTCTCTCTCTCTCTCTACTTTTAAAGAGCTTCACCCACTTCAGCTAACATCCTGAAGCGGGCCGCTCTCCACTCCGACCCCTCCTCTCCACTGCAGAACAGCACATGGGCTCATGCAGCTCGAAAAGAACGCAGTCAGAAAAGTCAAGTTTTCAGAAGAGAGATAAATGGTGAGAGGGAAGCCTGCTGTTGGTTTCCTGGACTGGATGGTTGGAGTTGCAATAGGAAGCAATCTCCTTTTCCTGTGTGTGAGTTGTCTGTCCGCTCTGACGAGGATCAGCAAGAGCAGAAAGTGGGCTGAAGAAGAACTTCTGGATGCAACAGCAAGGAGGAGGACCAGCCAAACGAGAGGAAAACAGTGGGAGACAGGAACAGCAGGAGTTGGACTGAGAAGACAGAGTCAGAGTCTTGAGGGACGTTTAAAGAGATGACGGCAAGAAGATATAGGAGATATTAAGGATAAAACAAGCAGCTCACCTGACTCACTTTCTGCTCTACTAGCGTCCTTCCTCCCCTGTCCTCCCTCCTTCCCCCTTCCCCTCTCCCCTGACATGGGCCGCCTGCTGGCCCTGACCCTCGCCTACCTGGCCCACCTGCTGGCCGCCGCCATCGGCTCAGAACGCCAACAGCATCACGTGCAGCACGGCCGCTGCAGCTACACCTTCATCCTCCCCGAGGTGCAGCACTGCCAACCCTTAAAGGACTTCCAGGTCACCAACACCCTCCAGAGGGACTCCCCGCCCGAGGCAGAGCCTGAAGCGAGCCAATCCAGGCCAGGTAAGGCCCAAAGGGAGAGGCCTTCCTTACAGGAGAGGAAGCTGGACCATCTAGAGAGTGCCATGGAGAATAACACGCAGTGGCTGCAGAAGGTAAGGTCTCTGAAGGGTTGACAAAGACAACTACTTTCTCCTTCCATGAACTTACTCTTTGCTGTTAAACTATTATTTCCTCCTCTTCACATGTCACGTTTTAACTGTCAATGGAAATGCTGGAGAAAGCATTTGTCCAAGCCACCTCATAACATCTGTTGACAAGCTCTCATTGTTGATAAGTTCAGTGCTTAGCGAGGACTTCCTGAACGATGCCGTGTGCATGTCTGGCTCAATGTCAGTGCCTGGTGTACTGTACAAGTGTGTATTTAAGACCACTGGGATGCCAGAACTCCCTGGTGCATGAGGAGAAAGATGAAATAAGTTTGCTAATATCAGGCAGTGCCAAATATGTATCACACAGTTAGAGCTTCTAAATGAGTATCAACCCCCCACAGAGAACAAGCACTCAGTCACTTCCCCTTTTGACACATTTTTGTATCCCGATTGTAAGCTAAAGTTGGCTGGAAACTGTGTACCAAACTCATAAAAATAAGTTCCTCAGTGTAAACAAAAAAGTGTTTATCTGCTGGAGACACATTTCAGCACTGCCGTCGGCCTTTTCAGTTACATTTAGCTGGGATTATGACCGACTAAAATGAAGTGATGCGATTAAAAGTGGCTTCACAATAGTGTTTTCATTGCTAAGGTCATCGGGGCATAGAATCAGTGTTGGGCCATTGTCTCGGACAGACTGACACGCCACTACTCTCCACCCGTCTCTCTATTCTTGTCTGCTTCACCCACACTATATTTATGGTATACACTAATCCTGAGGCCAATTATATGGGTTTGTGTGGAGTGTTTAGATTGGCTGGCTGAAAGTAAACATGTTGATTATATTTCAGGATTTATAAATGGGGTGTTATGACTGCCAGAGCTCTTCCTGTGCTTCTGTCACTCCCAACGTTCACTCACCATAGGATTGTCTCCAGTTTTCCTTTCCAAAGTCAACATTTTTTTGACACTATTCCTCTCTATGCATCCATCCTATCCATCTCCTTTACTTCTATCTGGACTCTTTTTCTCCTCTGGGATGACATCTGTGTCCCATCTCACACATTGAATTGGCAACCACAAGATCTTAAACTCCATCTCGCTCGTAGCTCTATCACGGACACCCATACTCCATTCCCCAGTGTGCACTCTGTCTGATGCTCGGTCTATGAAAAGGAGATGGGAAGCATCAACACCGCATGGGGCCACACTATGAGTGAGGAAGAACTAGTGAAAGAGTGCACACACTCTCCCTTGTGCGCACACTATATTATGAATGCGTACAGTCTGCAAAGCATCACATTTTGTACTCATCTTGGGCATATTCTGCGCAGCATGTTCAATCCCTTCCCACCAGAGCAGTGATTTAAGTGGCCATGAAGGACATAAAGTTTGAATCCCCAGCCCCCACTCTTTAGTCAAAGCTCTGCTGACACATACCTTGCTCTGTGGCCAAACTTCCTCAACTTGGTCTGGAATGAACACAAAGATCCAACCTTTCAACAAGTAACCCCCACCAGGCCGAAGAGATGCATAAACGATCGCACTGTAGGTGGGATTTCCTCATAAACACAGCACGACCCTAGAGAGCCTCTTTTAGACTTGCACGAGGGTTTTAACTGACTCTTGACCCCCAGGTGGGACAGCCCTTTCAGCACCTTGTGGAGCTCATTAAGCCTATCTGCATACATTTGAGGTGAAATTAGCGAAACGCATGGGGAAGAGCTCCATGCAACTGTGTGTCAGTGTTTCTCTGAAACTTTGTAAGCTCTCACTCAACACTCCCCTGGGATGATATGACCCTTTCTGTGAGCCTTCAAACCCCTTGAAAGAAAACACACAGCCACACACACAAACCCAGCAGCACACACAAACCAATGCAGCATGTTCCACAGAGGAATCTTCAAGCCGCTGAGTGCAAAAGGACGGTATTAATGTTCCAGATTTCTTCTTTGGTGTTTTCAAGATGAAGCTATTGTTTGTTTTTCTTTTGTTCTAACCCCCAATGAAGCCCCACATCTAGTCCCATTGGCTTTCTTCTGCCCTGAGGAATTGGCAAAAAAGTGCTTTTAAGAGCCTGCTGGATTATGCTAATGCTGAATTATTGCATAGGGATCAAGGTGGCTAGGCTACCCTCAGGTGACCCCATTTCCTAGCACAGTAATATTTCATCAAGTAAGTATGTCACCCACATTATCAATTGGTCTCATTAATTTACATTTCTTTAAACATAAACTATTTTTCCCCATCTTGAACAGCTGACTTATCTTTAAAGGTCAGTTCATCTAAATTAGAAAAAAACATGTCTTTATTATCCCTAGTGGTATTTTGGCATGGCCAAAGTTTTCCGGTATCTGGATCTAATGACAGCGAGGGGGAATTAAATGTATTTGCAGCGCTACAGTACAATTGAAAAATGAGTCTACCGCTGTGCTAATGGACTGTAATTCTATACAGTGCTTTGAGCTAAACTTTAATGTCCAGATTCTATAATGCTGATGCTTAATAGGCATAACCTTTATCATGCTAACCATCTTAATTTCCAATCTGAACATGATAGCATTATCAAATGTAAAGGCATTAACTAGAAGCCATGAATATCTGTACAAAGTACAGTGCTGTAGCTCTTGAGATATTAAACTTGGACCTGCTGGTGGCACTAGATAAACAGTCAGGGAAAAGCCAATAGGATTCATGTGAGGATAATGAATGTCTGCACAAAATGCAATACTTTCCTTGCAAAACTCTTACATTTTAATAATACCACATCTGCATGGTTATAAACCAGGAGAAGTAAACGACACAATATATTTCTATATCATTTTGGTGACTCTTAAGGCCCAGAATGCATCTATCCCTGGTGAAGAGTTGGTTCACTCGTGTTTAAGCACTGACACAGTAATCAAGTTACCGTTTTGAAGGTAACACACACATGGCTGTTCTTCAGTCATAGCGATTCTGATCATTGTTATTTGCTAGAACACCATGCATACATGTATCATTCTCTTCTGTTATACTCACTGTGAACATTTTTGTCTATTGGCTTAACACAGGGGTCTGCAACCTTTTTGACCAAAAGAGCCATTTTGCCCCCTTCTCCACCAATTTCTTTTGTCTGGAGCCGCAAAACATATTTGATAGCTTGATAGCTTATAAAGTTGTATATATTGTTATATCATAGACAAAAACTACAGTTTTTTTGCATTTATGTATTACATTATAGAAAACTGTTTACCTCTAATAATAAACAAAGAACTCGTATAAGGAGAATTGAAAAAAATACACAGGCCTACTTTAAAATAAATTAAACACAGCACTTGGGGAGTCCTCTGCACATTTGAAGAACATTAATATAATTAAAATGGGCCCACTTTTAAATAAATAAAACATAGCTGCACCCTAAAAATAGTTAACTGATTGAATTATGACTGAAGATCGTCAGCCGTCTTCCTCTTCCGTGTTTTTCCTCGATACTTTTATTTTCTTTGATTTATCCATAGTTCGCTCATCGAGCCGGGGGTCAGGTTATTCGCCTGCAAGAAAATGCGCTGGTGCGGGACCGTAGCAGGATGTGACGCATATTTTAGTTGACCTAATTAAAACCTCAAAATACAAGATACGAAACAACTTCATGTCTGCACAGCATAAGCCCATTGAAGCTGTTAACACCTACAGATACTTAGGCATCACTGTAGGTGAAAATCTCTGCTTCAAACCACATATTGACAATCTCTTAAGGAAATTGAAATTAAAACTGGGATTCTTTTTTAGAAATAAGGCCTACTTCTCCACAAGTGCGAGGAAACGGCTTGTAGCTGCCACATTTTTGCCGCTCTTGGACTACGGGGATGTTGTGTCCATGAACGCCTCAGCTCACTCCCTTCATCTGCTGGACGCTGTTTACCATGGGGCTCTGAGGTTCATAACCAACTGTAAACCCCTCACACACCATTGGACGCTGTACACTTTAGTTAACTGGACATCATTATCAATGCGCAGATCACTGCACTGGTACAAACTCATCTATACCGCTATGCTTGGACTGCTGCCCATCTACATATCCACTTACATATCACACAAACAGTACACCTACAGTATAGACTACGATCTCAAAATTACATCACTCTGTCTGTCCCCTCAGTACGCATGGTGCTTGGGAAAAAAGCCATATCGTACTCTGCCCCCTCGACCTGGAACACACTTCAGAAATTAAACTGACCAGTTTGATACCCATCACAGATTTTAAACTCATTTTAAAAAAGCTGGAGAAATCATCTGTGGGTGTTTGCACCTGCTATATCTGACTACTGTATATGGATTTCAATGACTACTTTTTTTACGGTGTTGTATTTTAGTGTTGCCTCTGTGTTTAGTGTCCTGTCTGTCTGTAACTTTGTGTGGTAGTGTTACCACTGAACAGGTCTCTTGAAAATGAGACCTTGTGTCTCAATGAGATCTACACCTGTATAAATAAAGGCTAAATTAAAAAATTAAAAAAATTCAACCGTGCAACAAAATATAAATAGTCCTACAAATATTTGTATTTTATGTCCTTCGTATTTTTGTCTAAACTCAAGGGAGCCAGAGTGGAGGGCTTAAAGAGCCACATGCGGCTCGAGAGCCGCGGGTTGCCGACCCCTAACAATTAAGATGTCAACTCATATCATTTGCTCAGCAATGATCACTAGTCCCTCCTAGAGACAATTAGATGCTACATCCCAAATGTGTATCTGGCTGCATAGTGCAACATCTGACATAACTGCAATTAATGCAACTGGCAGTGGATGATGCCAGTTGCAAAGACCTCTGAATTGAGCTCAATCACACAAGGGCTTTGAAAGGGACACTTTGGACAGACGGATGATAGCGACTTCAAAATGTAGGCTGTTAATGATGAAGAGATCTTTGATTCTTCTTTTGAAATTGACTCTAATGTGCTTGGTAATCTCTTCAAAACCTTCTTATGGAAAGATTATTTCTAATGTCTCAGTTGTCCTTAAGTAGCAAAATGTGAGGGATTGGATTTACAGAGCAAGACAGAGGAAGTATGAGAGAGTTTAAAGAAAGAGGGAGTTAGTGAGGGAAATCCAAGCAAGAAAGACAGAGAACGGTTATTAGCAGGAAAACAATTTAATTGCAGTTAATTCTGTATTTGCACACTTGGATCAGTTGTTGTTGTTGTTGATTGTTGCACTGCATAATATATTGAAAAAAGCCCTCTCCTGTGGTAATGTATCATTAATCCAATTTCTCTCTGAAATGTAAATCTGCTTGGGAAAAAATCCCAAAACAATCATAGTCTCATTTGAATTCATTTCATTTTTTTTAATAGCCACTCATTATCTCAATAGTACTGAATGCTTTCTCCTTTGAGTCATAATTGTCCAGTCATGTGGTTAAACGAGTTAAGTCTGATCTTTTCTCCCCACAAAAGAGTCATAAATATTAATGTTCTTCGGTTCGATATTATACTCTGCTTTACTGCAAGGCACAAGCAATTGCTTGTTAAAAGCCAAACAAAGTTTCATCGTTCATAGCAGGGAAATAAACACTTGTCGTACAGATGCCGTTTGCTCAAACTGACCACATTAATAAGAAACTATTTATTGGAGCAAGATGGATGGCATCATTTTTACCCTTTCTCCAACTTATGAGGGGTGTGAACATCTGTTCTCTGTCTGACTTAGTGATTGACTACAGAGTGTAGGCGACTATCCCTGAAGTCCTGCACACGAGTACAGCTATGGTGAATTTCATTACTCGTCTTTTTTGATGGTATTTGCCTGAGGTAGCTCTGCAGATGGATAGATGGTTGGCGAGACACTGCCCTGAAGGTACTCTATTCCACGACTGCATCACAGCACCTGAAAAGATCGAGGTGAAAAATACCTCTTTAAGGTTGCTTCTTTCAGAATGCATCAAGTTGTCAGTGATCATATCACCTACTAAAATATGATTATCACCTCAATGAAACTAGAGGATCAGACATGCTGTATAATATTCTCAAAGTCTGCTTTTTTCTCCGTACAGCTGGAGAACTTCATCCAGGAGAATGTGCGCTCTGGGATGGAGGAAATGAAAAGAACTGCGGTACACACACAGACAGCTGCCATGCTGGAAATGGGAACCAATCTTCTCAGCCAATCAGCGGAGCAGACCCGCAAACTGACAGACGTTGAGACCCAGGTGAGACCATCAGGAAGCGTTTGAGTGAGGCCGAGGCCACTTGTCTGCAGCCAATCCAATTTGACAACCGTGGGGGTCACACCCATGCAAAAAACGAATGATGTCACTTCAGAAACACTTGGAGAATAGCTAATTAAATGTAAATCAGATATAACCCTATGAGAAGCCATGCCCGAATGTGGAGGCGACCGCTTTAAAGCAGCTGGTATTTGGTTCTACCGGCTCTGATTGACACAATGAGTTGAACTTGACGTCTGACGAGCCAATTAAAACATAAAACTCAGCAGCACAACACAGATGTGTCTTCAATCATGCCACGGAGCTGTTATTACAGATTGAGCTGTTCTGGTCCCAATGCTTTCTTTTATTCTTATCAAAGTCGATATGAATCTGCAACCTGAACAAATATCTAAGCTGCTTTGTTCCAAGTTTTTGTTTCATCTGAAACTTAAAAAACATGTCACAGGTGGATGTGAGATAATTCTAGCTCAAGTTTTAATAAAAAGATCAAAGAACCGGGCATTACGAGCCTTGTGTTGTGCAATGTTTATCCCCGAGGGGGCTTTTTATGAATTCAGCTGTTGGGCAGTCTTCACGAACCCCCCCTCCTTCAATCAGTATCCTTTCTTGAATACTGCACATAATATGATAATTATAATTCTTCTTCTTTTATCAATCCATAGGTTTTAAATCAGACTAGTCGCCTGGAGATCCAGCTGCTTGAGTACTCGCTCTTCACTAACCGACTGGAGAAACATATTCTCCTTCAGACTCAGGAGATCTCACGCCTCAGTGATAAAAACAGGTGAGCAAATACCCTCCGAGTTTATCCAGGCATGTATACTTTTAAGTTCTGCAAGACTTTTTAGGGGATTCATATTCAGATCCATTACTTTAAGTGGTATTTCACAAGGCCCTTATTTTCTCAATTTGGACATCACAAGGTCATGTTTTCACTCATTTCTCCGGTCATATTTGCTTTCCACTTCCCAGAAAATCACCTATCAGTCAAGATCTGTTCTGACCATAATGTTTTTTTCCTCATATTCTCTGTGTGGCGTTGGTAACTGTAGGTGGCACCATTTTCTTTGCTCTTGGAGATCTTTTCCTAAGGGAAGAAAATATATAGGGTTGCAAAATATAAAGCACGTATTATAATGTATATACATATTGGTTCTTTTCATGCAACAACAGGAAAATGTGCCCATGTTGAATGATTCTGAAAAGCAGGGCATTCAATGATAATGTATTGTGAATGGGTCAGCATGTGTTTGACAGTGAGTAGGTATGGCATGTTAAGAGGGGTTTCCCATTCTTCTCTTTAGGAACAAAAAGTCAGCTTAGGGCCATCAGAGGTTAAGGACAGGCTGCTCGGCGGTTTGGAAGAGAGTGGTTGTTTTCTCTCTTTGCATTTGATTGTTTATCATTCCGTCTATCCGTATCAAGTGTGAGCGGGAGATCACAGCGCCCCGGCTCCAACACCTGTTACAAATCTGCTGGTGCTCGGCCCTGCTCTGCCCTTTTGGCCCTCGCCCTTCAAGTCGATGACACGGCTCTGACATGCAAATAAATGAATACATCTTCTCCAGGGTAAACTCTGTGATGGGAGTCATGACATTAGAAGGGTCATAGTCAATTTGCTGCCAGGCAGCTGTGGAATAAAAGTGAACCGCTGTGGGGGGGTTATTGCTGCTGATGCTTGAGGGCATGGAGCCAGTTTTTGAACTGCTGCCAACTAAAAAGAGCACAGAGACATATTTGTTTTCATAGGCATTACATGTCAAATACTATTGGCAGGAAGTTTAACATTTTGCAGAGAGAGGATAAGAGCAGTCTAATAGCAATATACTGTATATTACAATACAAATAAATAGCACAAGATCATAATCATAACAATCTAATTGTCCAGGATGCAATGTGATCCAAAATACCATGTTTGTTCTTTCAAACCCTCTTACTGTTTTAACATTTATGTGCTGGTTTACCGCCACGCTCAACTTAACACCGTAGCTCAAAGTAGACATAATGGAGAACCATTTGTTAGCTGGCTTTGCCACTTTTTATGAGTTCCCCCACAAAGCAAATATGAAATGAGAGCGATGTTAAAAATGATTTGGATTGATACAGGCCACATTCGGAGTCGGTGCTTAGTGGGAGATTAAGGATACATGTTGAGTGCGTTGGCTCCGTGTGCACAGCGCTGAAACATAGCTTGTTCAATCTGGGTGGTTGATTGTTTCAATAAATAACTGCTGCACAGTCGTCAGTCAAAGCCATAAAGATCAGGCTGCAGCGATTTATGATCTTCATTTGGAGGTGGGGGTGTGGCACTTGTGCAGAGAGACAAACACACGTAGACACACACAGTCAGAGTGTTGCTTCATGGCTGTGATCGAGAGGCTTAGCCAACAGCCAACCATCTGTGGATGCTGCTGCAGTACAGGTGTTGATAGGGTGTTAACCCGATGAGACTGCTGCGCTGATGTCTATTCGTCATCATCATGTAAATGTGCAAGTTTGTTCAACCTCTGATGAGATTCTTCCCCCTGCCTCTCCTGCCATTCAATATGCATTATAACACTTGATATGATGTCATGTCGTCAGATGTTTTATTTTCTCACGAGCCAGTGAAGTACCACTGTAGTAAATCAGGATTTGAAAAAAATGAAATAGTAAAAAAATCATGAAGCAAAACCTCTGTACAGGTATTAAAGCGTTACCACCAAGTGCTTGTAAAATGAGTGGCATGTCCAGGTGAATGTTCATAAAGGGTTTGTGAATAATGGTCGAATTCTTACCAATTAATATTAAAAAGTATTTTTTCCTTGAAATGGCGATCCAAAGGGTTGTGCAATGTCACTAGACCTCCAATTAGCAGTTAGCTCAAATTCAGTTTTGTACTAAATTCAGCCACTTTGAAAAAAAGTGGCAAAGTGTAAACAGACTGGCGGGTCCTTGGTTAATGCAGAAACACATGGATGGCTACATAAACTTTAGGCCTCAGTAAAAGTGGAACTATCCGACATTTTATTGAAAAATGTATTGTTTGCTCCTTTTTCATATTGCTTGGTTTTATATCGATGTTAAGGTGTTTTTACGTTTTGTCTCTGGTAGTTTTCTTGAACAGAGGCTCTTGGCGTTGGAGGCTCGGTACGGGAGGGAGCTGCAGGGCCTGCAGAGCGAAAAGCAGCAGCTTCAGGAGCTTCTGGAGAGGCAGAGTGGATTGGTCAGTCAGCTGCAGGGTGAACTGAGCAGCTCCACGCTCAACAGCAGCTCACTTCAGAGGCAGCAGGCCGTGCTCACAGACACTGTGCAGCAGCTGCTGGCCATGGTCAACCACTGCAATGGTGAGACTCTGGGGCTCTCTTTGTAAGAGCAGGATGTACTGCCAACATCTGTAATAACAAACAAAAGAGGTGCAAAAAATACTGACTAATAGTATCAATAAACACTGGTGTAATTTAGGCAAACAAGAGATCTACACTATTTCAATTGATAAGCATGGGATTTGGCTACCAAAGTAATATTTGACATGAAAAAATAACACCTAGAACAGCTTGAAAATCAAATCCCAGACACATGCATGAACCACCGACATTAGACTAAAGCCAGAGCTTAATATTACAAGAGAACTCACATATGGGGTTGGGATTTGTGTTCAAAGCCCATAAGGTTGCCATCTGTAAATAAATGCCTTCATGTTTTCCAGAAATCTCCAATGCTCCCAAGGAGGAGCTGCTTAGTTTCAGGGACTGCGCTGAGATCCTGCGGTCTGGAGTAACAGAGAGTGGAATATACAGCATACGCCTCACTAACTCCACACAGACTGTCAAGGTACTGAAGCCCTAAAGGTCCTTGCAAATGTCATCTAACTGACTGTGACAAGAACGTTTTTTTAAATAGACATTTTACCCATTTGTTGTTCAGTATGTAGCACTGTGATCCTGTTTTGTTGCCCAGTATGAGTGTTGAAAATCCCTCGCAGACTGCATAATGACATTCAAAGGGCTTATCATTACTTTTCCGCCCACAGTAAACACTGGACGGACAAACTAGCCTGATGTAATGGTAATTTGCAGGGTCTTTTGGGAGAGGGGTTGATGGAAATACCATGCTGGGTAACAGAGAGCTAAAATAATAAGCAACAGAAGCACTGTGCCCTGCAGGCTTCATGGTGTGCGCTGCTGAATGCAAAGTCAGAAAAGCTTAGAGGTACCTTGGCTGACCTGAAATAGCTAGCCATTGCTAACTCAACCAAAGCATGGAGCAGCAGGCTATCCTCTGTTTAAATCACAGCTAGCTATGGCTACGATCTTCACTCTCAGAGTTTCCCCAGAAAAAGAGAGACAGCAGTGATACAGCGTTCTGTTATTCATTACATTCACTCTAGTTTGCTAGTTGGCACCATCTCTTACAGCCTCTGTTTTCCCCTGTTCTTCCTTTTCATTTCCTGTGGGTAAGGCAGCCAGGTGTTAGGCGCTAGTGCCGTGTTTCCTGCCAACTGGGGCCAACGTACGTTTCCACTGATGCGAGTTAGTTCTTCCCAAATCATTGCTGCTTTCAATCTATGCCATCTTATTCTTATGTGGATGGCAATCGTGGCTGCGTACAAATGGGGCATATACAAATTACCCTATTTTTTTAAGTGGAGAGCGGGCTTCCACAAGAGATACAAAGTGTGGAAGTCAGATTTGGCTTTGAGACACTGTTATCTGTCCATCTATGTAACTTTTAATCACCAAGGTTGTAAATAGTAATGGTGTTTACAAACCACATCATTAATAGCTTGGAACAGCTTCTCTCATAACTTTGTTGTGCATGTTTTTAAAAACACCATATGCACAGGACTCTTAGCATTAATGTTTATTTCTCAACACAGATTGTGAATAAACTATTGTGTCCCCTGAAAGCCCCTTTGAATAATCACCACAACATAATCTTTTTTTTAAAAATCATAATACCGCTTAAATTGTCTGGATATTGACATTTTATTTAAATAGATTTGGACATATACGACTCCTTGCTGCTTTATAATAAAATAATTTGGAGATTTAAATCTGTATCTGGGCTGAATCAGAAAAACAATAAAATCATCACACTATGGGACAAAAATAATCTATTTCAAAAATCTGTTGTTGTATTCAGTGAGATGCTTTTAAGGCCAGAACATCGGCTTTATATTCCAGAGGATAATCACAGCATATTGCCAGTCTGCTCTTTTTTCAGAGGTAAAAGACCAGAGTGCCTTTTAACCTTGTATTAGCTTTCCTATTCTGGGAAACTCTCATTTCATTTCTAGCAGAACATAGCCAGTTGTCGAAAAAGAGAGAGCCCTTGGGATGCTGTCCACATACCAGCATCCAAACAGCCAGACTGTGAGGACTGATAGGTCAGGGTGGTATGGTGAGCAGCATTAAAACAAACTGGCAAACTCTGTAATTAACCACATTGCAGGTTGTTTACGTTGTGTCAGAAATGTCACGACAGTATCTGCAATTTCAGGTGCCAACATTGCATAGAGATGCAAATAAGGTGCCTAAGAAAACTGTCAAAGCCCTGCAGCCTTGAGGTATGCACACTGAATGTACTTTAGCAAGAGTTAGCACATTGAGAAGGATCTAATCTTACCACCCACGGGAGAAATTCACCATTCATTCAATCACGATTCCTAAGGGAAGCTGGAATATGTCCAGTCGAACACCTTGAATTTGTAAAATAAGTCCCTTAACAAGTCTACATTTCAAATGCTGTCACCAGACGAATGAGTGTAATCCATTCCTGTTTGTTCTCCCAAACATATCTACATATGGCAGAATGTGCAGCCAAGTAAGAAAGAAAACAGTGTGTGTAACTAAAAACGCAGATGCCTCTTCCTCAATCCCCACTCGAGGGGATGAGAGGCTGATATGTTGATTTTCCTTCCCACCTGGGTCGTATCATTGTGTGACACCCTGAAATGTTGGGTCCCCCCACCTCGCCCAATTCCTGAGGACTCCAAGGCATACTTCAAACAGCAGAAAGACTAAAGTGTGTTTTATGTTTTAATGCAATTTCTTCCCACTTTTTCTCATGTAAACCACTCCAGAACTAATCTCAGTTTATTGACATGAACACTCAAGTAGACATCAAGGATAAATAGTTGAAACAGAAAAAGCTTTCATAGTAAAATATGTTCAAACTTGGTACCAATATGAATCCCAAATAGTATTTTATGATTTATATTAGACCTTCATTTACGGATTATTATCATGTTAAACCGTTGCTTTAATATTTGATAAATGGACACATTCCAAGCTTACTTAAAGTATTAGTTTCAAACAAAGTAAACCTCTGTCCGTCTTTGAATAAAAATGGTTCAAAGCGGCATGAATTAATGTGGTTATATTAACAATGAATCAAATGTCAAAGGATCATGCGTCGTGAAAGGGGTCATTTATGGTGATGAAGGGTGAATATAATTTCTCCTATTTGACTAATTTGGTTTTACGTCTCACAAAATATTTGTTTCGGTTCAGTCTCATCAAGTTTGTGTCCTAAAAAAAACACTTTATGGACCCACAATACACCTCGGGCTCAGCACCCAACACCTGTAAGGGACTAGCTGGTTAACACATGCTACCAGCTAGCATTAGATGCTAAAGAGCCAGAGTTTTCTCTCCGCAGCTGTCGAAACATGGAATTGCAGGTGGCTTGAAACACAACTCCAATTGAGTTAATATAATAAGACACATTCTTCGGCTAAATTGATTGTACAACCTAAACCCAAAAGGGCTTTTTATGATTTGCCTTTATTTGAACAGGTGTTCTGTGACATGAAGACCAGAGGCGGCGGATGGACGGTGCTACAGCATCGGAGGAACGGCTCCGTAAACTTCCATCGTGGGTGGAGAGATTACAAAATGGTGAGTCCAGTAGAGTTATGGTCCGAGTGCATCAATATCATTATGGGTAGCATGGATCAGCACTGTGGGACTGGACAGGAGGTTCCAATAATCGTCTGTGGGTGATTTGGCATGGCGAGGCGTGGGATACCGGCGAGCCTGTGATCCCGGGCGACCTGCGGTTGTTGTATTTGGCCGGCCTTGTGTCCCCCCCGTGTTATTGCACCTGTTCTCGTTCCCGCTCCCTGTCAAACTCCCACATCGCCAAATACACATGCGTATGCACAAACACACACACATGTCATGCTGTCCAATGACCAGCAACGTTAGCACGTACTCTGGATAGAGTGAAATCATAAACAAGAGTCGACAAAGTTGTTACAGCTCTCTAGCTAAATCAAGCATTCAACACCTCTGGCTTTAGTCTTTGTTCGGACTGATTGAGATAATCCTTTTCCCCATCATAAAGTATACTCAATAGAATCAAGATGTTGTTGCACAATATAGAAAAACATATACTTGGAAGCCTTTGTACTGTTTAATTAGACACAGAACACAACAGTGAGGCTGGTTTTAAGGATTGAGCTAGCACTTTTTACTTGTCACTCGTGCCAGCAAATCAACTGCCAGATTTGAACTAGAATCCAGAGAGGACTGTGAACCAGAAGGAGAGACAAAAAATAACTCTTTCAAGAACAATATTTTTACAAGTGCATGATACATATTTGTGTCCAGTTGGGGCGTGGGAGCACAGGGGCCCTGAAGATGGCTATAACGTATGTACTGAAATGCTTCCCCGCCTCGGCCCCATGTCCTCGGAGACCGTGGTGTGTGTTGATCAATTGTTGCTTCCAGGCCTTGCTGTTCAAATGAGAAATGCTCCGAGTGTACTCACTCTTACTAAACACCATGAACAGTTTGACAGCTGGAGAAAGTGACTTAGAAATCAGGAGAAAGTGTACTTCTGTCAGACTGAACAAAGAATTATTAATATCTGCAAATGTAGGGTTTATTTACACTTTTGCCTTGAAAACGTGATTAGTCTTAATGGTTACATGCTTATCGAGTCATTTGGCCTAATCACACGGTGAATCCACCTCTCACATTTGCTTGCGTCAGTCAAAATAAGACACTTTTACCTGACAGCCTTATGTGAGATTCATTAGCAAAAGCCACATTTCTTGCCACCTCTTAAGCCGTCTCTTTGTATAGAATGCTGCATTTTATTATCGTTTCCCTCGAGTGGCGGCATCTGTTCCCGCGGTGAAAAGATTTCTGTCAAAGCCTTCTCACCCGCGTCGCTCACTGTATCTGTTTTCATTTAACACTGCGGCAAAATCATGTATCTATTACTGGGCCTTCAACCTGTTGACATCATTTAAACATTGCCACGCTGCTCAGAGTTAAGGTTATGACACTTCTCTTTCATATATCGGTTTCTTTATAACCCGCCTCCGTATACATCTATAAACGGTTGATACATTAATAGGAGAAGCTACCAGAATTGCTTCAATGCTCATCCCTGAACTCTGCTAGAGGAATGAACACCATTGCTGAATAGATGTTTAGATGATGGTGGTAGAGTGCGTTCCATCATATAAGAAGAAAATCTACCATAGAAATATTTCAGGCGAGGGGAATGTGGGAGGACGTAACTGACATACAATCAAGATTTCTATGGATTCATATCCCCTATTACTTACTACAACATACAGTAACGTTAAAATAGTACAAGAAACCTAGCACTTGAAATAAAACACAATTTATTTAAAAAACGAAAAATGTGAAATTATACAAATGAAAAAATGGTGTAACTGTGCCACTGACGGGTTTTCTAGTCGAGTTCAAAGTTAATCTCTATTTTACATTTAGGGATAGAACTGTAACTTCTACCTGTATCAGTAAGATGACCTAAATGAGTCATTATTTGAATCATCATATTAACAAGTGACATGTGGAATTATAATTGCTATGTATGCTATGCTATGCTATTGGTATTGGTGACAAGTTGCTGTTAAGTGTCATCAGATCATTAAAACCTTAAGATATCAGATACAATTAAAATAGATCCTATTAACAGCTTTCTCTCTTAGTTGGATGTGCAACAGGCCGAAAGGTCAAATATCTTAAGTAAAGACAAAATTAATCCCTAACAGTGTCAGTGTATGCAGATAACCGTGGTGTACTTTTTCTCTAGTTTGGCTTGCTCACAAAAACAGGAAAAGAAAGAAAGGGGCCTTTAACAGTGGTGAGAGGATTAGTTTTTTGGGCACAGAGAGGTTGTAGAGTTTTGTTGATCGAGAAAGTGAAATCATTAAATCCTCATCTTTTATCAAACGGTTTATTCACCCAATAAGACATCTATCGAAGCATCTGTAATCGTTTGGTTTCACGTTCCTGTGTTTCCAAGTAGCATACCATAAGATTCCCTCCTAGTATTGCCTATGTCCTGCACTATTCATTCTCCATCAGTAATCATTTAGTGTGGTTTCACATAAACGAAAATAGAAAACGTGTGTTCATGTCCCAGCTTTGCAGTTCAAACTAACAGTGGATGCGGCAACAACGTCATTGTTTTTATAACTCTAAGTGTTGCAGACACAATTTGAGCTTTGATAGGATATTAAGGGAAATTAAAGTCTCACTCGACCGTACCGTTGCTTTGGGAGTGGAGTATTTCTCTTCATAAACTCAGTGGACTGTCTCAAGTCATCAAAGTCATACATTTGACTTCTTAAATTGAGGTCTATTTTCACATTAGCTCCAAAAACACTTGGCAGGATGCTGGTAAAATCACCCCCTTTGTTTGAATATTTTCTTGGTTCATTGTTTCTCCGTCTTTGTGTCTAATCCAGGGCTTTGGAGAGCCGTCTGGGGAACACTGGCTTGGGAATGATATCATCCACACGCTGACCAGCTCCCAGGAATACAGTCTGCACGTCCAGCTGAAAGACAGAGAGGGGAACGAAGCTTTCTCAAATTACGATCGCTTCCACATAGATGGAGAGGACAACAACTACAGGTAATACGCTTTTAAATCCTTACTGAACATCCAGATTCCATTCTGGCTTGTATTCGTGCCGTGCTCTAATTAGAAATTCACTTTTAATAATCAAACCATGCAATTATGAAACAGCTGATGACAAACTGCTCCTAAAACACTACTCAGGTCTCCAATTAAATGATTTTACTTTGTCAGAAATCAGACATGAATGGGATTATAATGAAGGTGCCTAATTTCAGTAAATTGTTCTATTAAGAGTTTCTATTGTGTGTGGCGTAATTGCAATGCAGCATTCATTTGTTCCGCTCTGGGTGTAGGACTCTTAAAAATAGCGACAGATTAGAAACCGTTATCAACAGTTCAAACTCTTCTTTATTTTCTCTCCACTTTGTTACCCGAGCACTGAAGTTAAAGAACCACTTGGACTGTTTTTAAGAATGTCATTCAAAATGATGAGCTCAGAGGAGGGCACACAGAGCCACTTTTGTCTGTCTCCATGTTTCCTCTGCCATCACGTTGCCCCTGAACATCCCCGAGGGGAGCCACCTCCACTGGAGTATAACAGTAACGCCCCCCCCCGTCAGGAGCTGACAACTCAAAGCAAGCTCCTCAGTAACCCTGCAATCACTAACAAGATTATGTGTGGGCAAAACAGACAAAACAAAACAGACAGAACTAAAACAAAACTTAAACAGTTCCGTTTAGATTTCATAGTAATTCCCAGGCATTTCCCCTTGTTTTGAGAGATTGACGCTGTGAGAGATGAAAAATCATAATCATATGTGGGAGTATGCTTTCCAAAATCCCTAATAGTGCAGCAAATTGCATTTGCCTTCAGTATGTTCCACATAATTAGCGCAATGAAACGGAATGTTTCACAATTTTGCTGCAGGCTATACTCTGTGTGGGGCGAAGCACCTGAATGAATATAATCACCTCTAGCCTGCTACCTCTGAGATCATGTTTTCTGTAACTAGTTCAATATGCACCAGCTTTATGGTCGAGACCCTGGCCTCGTCTGAGGGTTTATATTAAAACTCCCAAGCTGAGGCTGTGAAGCTAGTCAGCCAAAACAATCCTCCTCCTCAGCTGCATCCAGCGCGTTCCCTAGAGCAATATTGAGGTCTTCACCTACTGTAGAACTCAGCAACATTATTCATACATTAATCATCAGCATGACAGACCGCTTTCCCCTTTCAAGTAGCCAAGAACAGCCAGTTTTAGAGTCACACCGAGGGTGAGTATTCCTTTGAATGTAACAGTATATTAGTCATTACAGGATACAATAACAAATTGAAAAGACAGTCACCTTGAAAAGGATTAGCGTGTGGTTTGCGGTTTTGGTGGAATAGCTGAATTAATGCATCTGGAAGACATGGCTAATGTCAATCTTTTGCTTTTTGTAGAAAGAGCTGGCACGTTCAACAGCCATCCAATAGGCTTTCCTGTAGCCTGTGGTTGCAATCCTGTCTAATTTGATAGTTTTTAATTTTTTCCACATCACCGATTCATCGTGACGGGAAAAGTGAACTCATCTAACAAAAATATCCCCTCGCTTCAACTCGGCCTCTCTGCAATTCCATCATTATTCTCGTCCCAAGCACGGCCATTTCCAACTCCCGTCTTGCTGCGCCTCATGATACGATGCCCTGCCCTCTGAACTTACAAATTCAAGAGGAGGATTCTTCATTTAGTCATCGCAGACAGCGTGCCCCGGGCTACAGAGGGGGGGGTCACATAACTCAGGGGAAAGTCTGCTTCTAACGAGACAGAATGACAGGGCAGAGGAGAGGCCAGACAGCAGGACTGACCTCCTCATCCAACCCTCTCCAAACCAGTCCTGACACACACACGCAGAAACACACACACACTCCATTGCTCGGGAGTTGGGCCGCTGCATGAAAATAATTGAGGGAATCAATTTAACTTGCACAGAGATTTGTTTCAGACTGTTGGTGTTGTTTCACAAAGCACAGCATGGAGGAGAAATAATGAGAAGCTATTTAAGTGGCTTTTTGTATTGATGTTTGCCAACAATGGAAAGCTAGGGGAGATGGTACCTTGTGTTAAAAAGTGGTGTACACATTCTAAACAGGTTGTGATCACCTACAGTGGTTTACAGGTGCTTTTGAGGAGGTTGTTCTTTGATTATTTGTTATTCAATTGTTCATCTTTGATAAGATGTGTACAGGCTTTTCTTGTTTTGTTCATTCTGCAGCCATAGCTCTACACAGACTTTAAATGACAAGGTGGTGGGGAAAAATAGATGAGCGCTGGGTGTTGCCCTACTTAAAATGCTGTCTTCCTTGCCAAAATAAAATCGTAATGTCAGGTTTGCCTAGAGGCTTTCAAAAGTTCGAGAAAGAGTGTCAAATGAAAAGTGAATTTCAAACTCTCTTAAACAGCAACTCAAACCAAAGAAAGCATGACTCCCTCCCTTTTATACTTAAGGAATCATAGATGTTATTGTGCTGTGTAAACTTGACCAAAACATTATTAAATTATTTTCTTTTTTGGGCTGTATCCACTCACTGCCAAGGAGCTTCCAAACACAGCTTTAAATAATTAATACAAGTGCCTCCGGCGGAGATTTTCCCTCAAATGATTTGCTCTTCCAAAACGCAGCCTTCACGCTGAGGGCTTCAGTGGCACAGCGGGTCGGACCAGCAGCCTCACCCACACTGGCACCCCGTTCAGCACCAAGGACAGAGACAATGACCGCTGCACCTGCAAGTGCTCGCAGCTCGCGTCCGGAGGTACCCTCAACTGCTTCGTCTCAATCTGTCTCTCCTTACAACACTTCTTGTTAAACATTTCTATCCACCCCCTTGTAAATGTCCCAAAGAGCATTTCATTTTCCCTCAGCGCCAATATAAAGTTACTGCTTGACTACATTTGGGTTTTTCATTTCATGAGCTCAAATGTAATTAATTCAGACTTTTTTTTCCTTGAACTCTGTGCCACTTTCTCTCTCTCTCTCCTCAGGTTGGTGGTTTGAGGCGTGCGGTCCGTCCAACCTGAATGGCATTTATTACCCAAGCTCCTCCAGTGTGGTTCGCTACAATGGCATCAAGTGGTACTATTGGAAAGGTCCAAATCTGATGACTACCATGACAACCATGATGGTGCGCCCAGCAAACTTCTGACAGACGTGGCGTTTGCAGGATGCAGATAAATGAAGTGAATGTTGCCTCCGATGACTAAAAAGAAAAATATCCAGGAAATTGTATTTTTGGGAGGAAATGTTACTCGGACTGTTGGTGGTTTCAGCTTCTGGACATCTTGAAAAGAGGCTCTAAGCTTTTGTCTTGGGCCATGTGCGGACACTCGGCATATGACTGGTTATAATGAATTCATTACAGATACATTCAACCAACTATTTTTATTCACAAGGTTTCCAAGGCTATATTTCAATAGGGATTGTGCAGCTGGAAGAGGAAATGATGTTTGCTATAAATGAGAAAAACAGAACTTATCACATCAAATGATGCAGTTAATTATGATCAGTTATAAAATGAAATGAACAATTAATCGAAAAACCTTTATAGACACTTTAACACATATCTATTTTTATATTTTCAAGTATGAAAACCTTTGTTGTGTGTGTGTCTGTTTGCTGTAAACAACTGCAATAAATCAAGACAAAACCGTGTATATACTATACAATATACTCTTCTGTAATGTTTTATTCCGGCACTAAATGCTTTATTAATTGGAGTCTTTGTACTTGTGATGTAATATTAAATGATAATGCTCCTATTCAATCCACAGAACTGTGTTCTAGTCGCATTATAAGACTGTCGGTGCTTGTTGAAAACTGCAGCCATGCACAATAACGTAAGATAACCTACAGTGCCTTTAATGGTTTATCACTTTCAATAAAACAACACCATAAAGAACAACAACAATAGCATGCTTTTCCCTTTGCTGCCTCCTCCAAAGGGGCTTACAGAATAAAATATCTCCAAATATGTCCTGGCACACCTCTCATAAAACTTTATTTGTGAGGGATTTCACTGATAAAAGTACATTATGCACTTTCACTGGTGGGGTTTACTTTCAAAAATGAAAGATTGCAATGGGAACAAAGCTGAACATTTACTTACATTAAAATCACGTGTAATCTTTGGTGCCTATAATCCACAGTGCCAGGAGCTTGTTGCCATGTAAGCTACATACACTTCAACAAGTCCCACATGCTGGACTCAGGAAGTCAAGATGCCGGGCCATTGATCTGATGAATCATCCAATAACACTGGTCCCTGCGGTACCCATCAGAAAGCAGATGGGGTTCTCCTCGTACTAACTTTGACCTGAATGTCCCTGGGGACGGCAGTCGACTATCGCCTGTCTCCGTCTGCAACGACTGCTAATTGTTCTGCGTCATTCTCTCAAATACAGACAGACATTACACTCACACATCTCATCTGCTTTGCTTAATGCAGTCTCCAAGTGTGATTCATGGACTGCAGAAATTAGACATTGAGTATGATGAAGTCAGGGGTGCTTAAGAAGGAAACTTAAAAATGAATGAGATATTTTTAACAAATAAATTGCTTGAATAAATAACTTTTCTGTGTGTCTTCACTGAATCTGAAGGGCTTAGTAACGCCTAACTGCCTTTGATTTAATACTCGGAAAGGAAATATGCAGGAGCTGCTGAAGACAGTAAAACCACTCAAAGGGATAACAGCCCTGCTACTGTGCCTGACCATGGCTCAAATGTGAGCGCCTAGAAATATATGATGCAATCATGATAGAATCTGGGAGGAAACTACCACTATCATGACAAGGGTATGCAGTGCCAGCAGATATGGATGTTCAAAGCAAAGGTCGTGACTGTAGACCTGACCCACGTAACGTGCTGTACAAGCAGAACCACACACAAACACGCCCCGCTCGCATGCAGTGATCCCATTGCTAAACAAGTTTATTACGACCTCCAACGGCTGGACAGGCGATAGATCACAGCGGGGGAGGCCGGGGGTGAATCCATCACAGAGACTTTAATAAAGACCACTTGATTTGGCCTGCTGGCTCAACAGATGAAATGGTTGTGTTCAGGTCCAGTGAAGCAGACCGGAGTCTGGGTCGCATTGCTTCTCTACTTGTCGCAGTCCCTGTTTATTAGACGGGTTATTGTTGTTATGGGCAGAGGGACACAGAGATACAGTAGTCACTTTAGAACTGTGTTATTGTGTTGTCAATATGTATGACAGTCTGTTGTTGTACAAGTGGTGGAATTAGGTTTATACAAATGAAGATTGTCTAAAGTTACAACTAGAGATTTTACTTTCATCTCTATTAGTTCTAAGCGCACAGTGTAAACAGGTTTACAATATAATATTGAAGCTCCCATTTGGCTGGGAAAAGCAATGCTTAATCCCACAAAATGAGTTGTTTCTTTACTGCAATGGGTCAATTGAAATAGGAGGCCATATAATTTGTATGTGACTATACATAACCCTATTTCAACCTACGGTTAAACATGATTTAACTAACTGCAACTGTAAAATAACTGTTTAAATGTTTCTACTCATGTGTGAAGAAGATCAAAACAACTCTCATGTATGTAACATAAGGGTAACTAGAGTAACAATGAGCCTGAGCCCTACGCAGTTAATATAAGATTAAACTCAGTTTGTGCACACTTCACCGTTTGTGAGTTAGGAGTGCTGTTGTATAATTCGTTCAGAGATTCAGGGCATTACACTTTCAGAAAAATAGAGCGTACTCTGCGCACCCTTAAGAGACAGAGCACCCATCACTGTGAATGTGTGATGAACAGCTGAAATCATACATTAAAGGTGGGGTAGGTAAGTTTGAGAAACCGGCTCGAGATACACTTTTTGCTATATTCCATGGAATGCTCTTAACATCCCGATAGCAATGAATATTTTAAGTGCTTTGACAAAAAAATCCATAAAAAAATGTCATCTGTGGAAGCCGTAGTACTGTAAAAAGCACGACCAATCATTTTAGCCGGCCCGGTAAAATAACTGGATGGCCTACCTGCCTGTCAGCCTTCCATCTGTGCACCAACTTATCTCGTGCCCTCATTGGTCATGTGCGCGTTCGTGTGTGTTGGAGGAGGGGCTCTGTAAGGAATTGGCAGATTTCAAATTCTAGCGCACTCAAGCTGGTTTCTCCAAAATTACCTACCCCACCTTTAACATAGATTAGAACCCCAACAGGTCGGGGTTGGGTGTCTTAATACAGGAGGCTGTCTCTCTTGGGTTGCTCCAATGAGTTTCAGTGAATAAAAGTGTAAAAATGGTGCACGTGCTTCTGACTGTGTCGCTCTCAGGGTGAACTCAAGAACAGGGGAGAAAGCTGGCAAATGAGTATTGAAAAAGTTTCAGAATTCATCATCAGATCTTCTCATCACAAGAAGATTACTATTCAACTAGAGAATGCAATTCCTGAAGAAATTGCTAGTGGGAATGCTTTATGCTGAAAAGCTGACACTAAACTGCTATGCTGAAATGTAATGTGTAAGAAGAAAGTGAAGAATTTAGATTAAAATGAAATGTGTAAGAAGAAAGTGAAGAATTTAGATTAAAATGAAATGTGTAAGAAGAAAGTGAAGAATTTAGATTGAAATGATATATGAACACAGGGGGCTTGAATGTGTGATGAGGGAAGAAAATAAAGTAAAAAGGCTTGGAAAAGCAGCAGAATATTTGAACTGCAAACTTCTGAACTAACTTGATGGCGAATGATCTGTCACCATGGCAACGGCATTTGATGACACCCCATAATACGCTTAGATGCGTTGATGGCTGCATCGTTACCAAACCTGTGAAGTCTTGGGCTGTTTGGAGTATTTTCAGTGAAGTTATGAGAAAACCGTGTTTCAAGTCGAGCATTTTGTTTCCATGGTAACGGCATTTGAATAAATCTCAAAACTGTCCCGTAGATGTCTTCAAGGCTGGACTGTTAGCACACACGTGAAGTTTGAGCACTTTTTGAACATTTTCATAGGAGTTATAGCGACATCATGTTTTATGGCGAGGGATGCGTTTCCATGGAAACGGCATATGGTGAGATCCCAGATTTGGCGTAGAGCTGTTGAGGCATGGACCGGTGATATAAAAGTGAAGATTGGGGGACGATTGGACCGTGTCCATTGGACTTATAGCGACATCCTGTTTTATGGCGAGGGATGCGTTTCCATGGAAACGGCATATGGTGAGATCTCAGATTTGGCGTAGAGCTGTTGAGGCATGGACCGGTGATATACAAGTGAAGATTGGGGGACGATTGGACCGTGTCCATTGGACTTATAGCAACATCATGTTTTACTGCAGCTCTGCCCGATCTGCAGTGCGCATGTGCGAGATGGTCCGCCATATTGGACAACTCCGGACGGCAACCCAAGTAGGACAACATTGACACAGTGGCTTTTGGCAAAGCTCAAAAGGAAAACTCGAGAGAGATGAGTTATTGTTATTACAACGTGACTTCACTATTATTTAACAACTCTTTTCAAAAGGAAAACTCGAGAGAGATGAGTTATTGTTATTACAACGTGACTTCACTATTATTTAACAACTCTTTATGGGTTCTTTTATTTGGGGTTAAGTACATTATCAGAATAAGTGAGAAATGAATTTAACTTCTGTTAGACAGCTATCATACTGAATACATATTTACTGTGAATGTGTGCAACAATTTATGGCATATAGCTGTCTAACAGAAGTTAAATTCATTTATCACTTATTCTGACAATGTACTTAACCCCAAATAAAAGAACCCAATAAAAAGAGTTGTTAAATAATAGTGAAGTCACGTTGTAATAACAATAACTCATCTCTCTCGTGTTTTCCTTTTGAGCTTTGCCAAAAGCCACTGTGTCAATGTTGTCCTACTTGGGATGCCGTCCAGCGTTGTCCAATATGGCGGACCATCTCGCACATGCGCACTGCAGATCGGGCAGAGCTGCAGATCGGGTAGTGACAGATGTCTTCACGGCTGGACTGTTGAAGTCTGCTGCATGTCAGTTGGGGTGATGACATCATCGTGTTCCATTACACAGGTGTTTATAGTCAACCCAGTCTCACGGCATTTCGTGTTCACCAACACGATTTTTAATCTATTGATTCGTGTTCACCAACACGATTTGCCCCTTTTTTTCGTGTTGCACAGCACGATTTTAAAAGCAATGTATTTCTACTGCCTGCAGCACGTCTTTTTCTCCGGTCGGGTCGTGGGAGACCGGAAGCTGTGTGGTTCATAAAAACATGTTCTTACTCAATATCAAGCCACTATTATTGCTTTTATTTTAAATCGTATAATTTCGGACTTTTGTTGCCGTCTGTGAGGAAAATAAATGGGGCTCAGAGCCTCAGAATACGGAAATCTGTATTTAAAAAAAAAAAATTCCTTCTAATTCGTTATTCTTTTCAAAATAACACACTGTTATTTACTCACCAATAACACACAATTATCTTTGCTTTTATTTATTGGTTTAATTCCATAATATCGGGCTTTTTTGGCGTCCGTCAGGAACTGAATTTCAAAATAAAAATAACCGGAAACAGACGTAGGCCTATAAGGGACATTTCGAGCATCATTGCGATTGTCAACATTTCTGAGTTTAGGATGGCCGAAGACACTACACTACCCATAATCCCCAGCTATCGT